GACACATCCAAATTCCCTGAGGGACTGAATTACTGGGCTGAGGTCTGTGGGTACCATGGTCTCAGGGAACATCTAGCTCAATTGGCATAACATTTTATAAAGAAAATGTGCTACATTGCACTTTGCTGAGTAGCATCTAGGGTCTTAGAAGCCTATGAGCGTCCATCTAAGATCCTCCACTCATCTCACCCCTTTGGGAGCAAGAGAGAATGAAGAAAGCTAAAGACACAAGGGAAAGATTAGTCCAAAGGACTAATGGACCACTGCTACCACAGCCTCCACCAGACTGAGTCCACTACAACTAGATGGTGCCCAGCTACCACCACTGACTGTTCTGACAGGGATCACCTAATCGAGGGTCCTGAACAGAGATGGAGAAAAATGTAGAACAAAATTCTAACTCACAAAAAAAAAAGAAAAGACAAGACCTACTGGTCTGACAGAAACTGGAGAAACCCCGAGTTATGGCCCCTGAACACCCATTTAGCTCAGTAATGAAGTCACTCCTGAGGTTCACCCTTCATGCAAAGATTAGACAGGCCCCTAAAACAAAATGAAACTAAGAAGCACACTAGCCCAGGGGCAAGGACTAGAAGGCAGGAGCGGACAGGAAAGCTGGTAATAGGGAACCCAAGTTAGAAAAGGGAGAGTGTCGACATGCTGTGGAGTTGTTAACCAATGTTATAAAACAATATGTGTGCTAACTGTTTAATAAGAAGCTAGTTTTTTCTGTAAACCTTCATCTAAAGTACAATTTAAAAAAAAAAAGATACATACAAGAATGTTTATAGAAGAACTATAAGTTAAATCCAAAAACTAAAAACCCTCTCAAACTTCATCCTTCAGCCAAAGATTAGACAGATCTTTAAAATAAACAATAACAGATGTAAGGAACGTGCTTCTTAGTTCGATCATGTATATGAGACCAAAGGGCAACACCTGCCTAAAAGCAATGATGAGAAGGCAAGAAGGGACAGGGAAAAAGGACAGATAGAAACGGGGAATTGGGTTGTGGAAGGGGAGAGTGTTGGCACATCTCAAGGATTGCAACCAATGTCACAAAACAATTTGTGTATAAATTTTTGAATGAGAAACTAATTTGCTCCATAAAATTTCACCTAAAGCACAATAAAAAAAAAAAAAGAACATTTCTGGGGGTTGGACCTCCCCATAGAACAAAACGGGATGAATGAGGCACAGCAGTCCAGTGACAAGGACTAGAAGGCAGGAGGGTACAGGAAAGTTGGTGATAGGGAACCCAAGGTTGAGAAGCAACAGTGTTGACATGTCGTGGGGTTGTTAACCATTGTCATAGGGCAGTATGTGTACTATCTGTTTAAAGAGAAACTATTTGTTCTGTAAACCTTCATCTAAAGTACAAAAAGAAAAAGAATTATCTATGTGAGATCAAATTTGACAACAGTAACTCAAAAGGATTGATGGGAAGCCTAGGGGGCAGTGAGTTGAAGATAATGGTGACGGAATAATTTGGAAAAGGATAGTGAGAGTAGCAGCACAACTGGAAGGATGTAATCAGTGTCACTGAATTGTACTTGCAGAAATTTTTGAAATGGTGTATCTTTGGCTATGTATATTTTTACCCCCCCCCAAAAAAAAAAGTACTCCAAGATCAAGAAGGGAGAGTGTTGACATGTCATGGGGTTGTTAACCAATGTCATAAAATATGTGTACGGACGGTTTAATGAGAAACTATTTGTTCTGTAAATCTTCATCTAAAGTACAATAAAAAAATAAAAATTAAAAGAAAAAACATTCCAAGATCTATCCTGAAGCACAATGCTGTTATGATAAGATCATATCCTTATGTCTACAAGGAAGACCAGTTAATACAACTATTACTGAAATTTACGACCGAACACTAATGCGAAAGATGAAGAAATTGAAGATTTTCACCAACTTCTGAAGTCTAAAATTGATCAAACATGCAATCAAGACACATTCATACATTATTGGCCATTGGAATACGAAAGTTGGAAACAAAGAAGAAGGATAGTTAGTTGGAAAATATGGCCTTGGTTGATATACACAATGACAGAGATTGCGTGATAGAATTTTGCAAGACCAACAACTTATTCATTGCCAATACCTTTTTTCAACAACATAAACAGTAACTATATAGGTGGACTTCACTGGAAGGAATACACAGGAATCAAACCAACTGTACTGGTGAAAGAGATAATGGAAAAGCTCAGTATCATCAGTCAGAACAAAGCCAGGGGCCAACTGCAGAACAGACCATAAATTGCTCATATGTAAGTTCAAGCTGAAGTTGAAGAAAGTTAAAACAAGTCCACGAGAGCCAAAATATGACCTTGAGTATATCCCACCTAAATTTATCAATCATCTCAAGAATAGATTTGACACATGGAACACTAATGAACGAAGACCAGACGAGATGAGGAATAACATCAAGGACATCATACATGCAGCAAAAGGTCATTAAAAAGGAAGGAAAGAAAGAAAAAACCAAAATGTATATCAGAAAAGACTCTGAAACTTGCTCTTGAACATAGAGTAGCTAAAGCAAATGGAAGAAATGATGAAGCAAAAGAGTTGAACAGAAGATTTCAAAGGGCGGCTAGAGAAGACAAAGTATGATCATGAAATGTGCAAAGACCTGGAGATAGAAAACCAAAAGAGAAGAACACATGGGCACTTCTCAAACTTAAAGAACTGAAGAAAAATTCCAAGCCTTGAATCGCAATATTGAAGGACTCTATGGGCAAAATATTGAACGACACAGAAAGCATCAAAAGAAGATAGAAGGAATACACAGTCACTGTACCAAAAAGAATTGGTTGACGTTCAACCATTTCAGGAGGTAGCATACGATCAAGAACATGTGGTACTGAAGGAAGATGTCCAAGCTGCCTGAGTGCATTGGTGAAAAACAAGGCTTCGGGAATTAATGAAATACCAACTGAGATGTTTCAACAAGCAGATGCAGTGCTGGAGGTGCTCACTCATCCATGCCAAGAAATTTGAAAGACAGCTACCTGGCCAACCGACTGGAAGAAATTCATATTTGTGCCCATTCCAAAGACAAGTGCTCCAACAGAATACGGAAATTATCGAACAATATTAATATCATATGCAAGTAAAATGTTGCTGAAGATAATTCAAAAGCAGTTGCAGCAGTACATGGATAGGGAACTGCCAGAAATTCAAGCCAGATTCAGAAGAGGATGTGGAACAAGGAATATCATTGCTGATGTCAGATGGCTCTTGGCTTAAAGCAGAGAATACCAGAAAGATGTTTACCTGTGTTTTATTGACTATGCAAAGGCATTCAACTGTGTGGCCTTGGTACTTTGGACATGTTATTAGGAGGGACAAGTCTCTGGAGAAGGACATCATGCTTGGTAAGGCAGAGGATGAGCGAAAGAGAGGAAGATCCTCAGCAAGATGGATCGACACAGTGGCAGCAAGGATGGGCTCAAGCATAACAAGAATGGCACGGGACCAGGCAGTGTTTCGTGCTGTTGTACATAGTGTCCCTATGAGTTGGAACTGACTTGACGGCAGCTAAGAAAAACAACATAGAAATCTTTACCAGTCAGTTCAGAGTTCAGCCAAATAATATGCTGCCTCTGTAGATATGAAAGGGTGGGCAGTGGAATTCACTGAGTATGTCTGTATTAGGATCTCTAGTGGTGTAACGATTAAGCACTTGACTGCTAATGGAAGGTCATCAGTTTGAACCCACCAGAACCCACCAGAGGCTCCGAGGGAGAAAAGAGCTGATGATCCACTCCCATAAAAATTATAGTCTGGGAAACCCTATAGAGCAGTTCTTCTCTGTCATATAGATTCACTATGAGTTGGAATCGACTCGGCATCACACAACAACAACATTATCTATTTTAAAAAAGAAAAACGTTTGGAAAAAGCATCAGTCTCAGTCTGAATAATAACGTTCATATTGACTTTAATAAGGCAGATAGATATACAAGCATCAAAGACAGATAGGCAAGGAGATGTGATGGTGTTTTATAGGGATCTCCTGTTTTCCTTCATGGAAAATGCTTGACTCCAACACAGCTGAATTGTTGTGTTAGCTTTTGTTAACAATTGTCATTAGCTGCCATCACATGGATCCCCGAATCATGGCAACCTCATACATAACAGGATCAGACTGTTGTGATCCATGGGGTTTTCACTGGCTAATTTTTGAAAGTAGATCACCAGGCTTTTCTTCCTAGACTGTCTTAGTCTGGAAACTCTGCTGATAGTAAAGGTTAAAAAAAAAAAAAGCAATACAAGCTTTTGGTTTTTTCTTTTTTATATATTAAAGAACACAGTGCCCATTTGCAATTTTTTCCAAAGCGTTTGTAGTATGTGAAATACATTCCTACAAAGCATAAATTCACATCTAACTCATTTGAAGACACAAGAACAGCCTGATAAGGGAGCAGATAAAAATGAATGTCTTCCTGTAAATATTCAACACTGAGATATTCAGGAAGGTGTACATCAGCTTTAGAACTTAATCTTATTTTTAACCTATGAAATAAGAGTTCTGACTTGCCAGACAATTTTAGATGTCTGATTGACTCCTAATATTTATCCTCTTCTTTCACTGATAGCCTACCGACAATAATGCCCCACATATTAAAAAACACATAAATATCATCTCAGTGTGATTTAGGATAATAAAAACACGTTTTACATCATGGTAAAATATAGACTTGGCTATCACTTATTGGATTCGCGAGCAGGAGTGCTGAGCGATGAGAAATTTTATGATGAGTTTGTATTTTTTATTTAGCATCTTGAAGGAATTCACTGAAATCTTCAAACATTTTAAAAGTCAAATTCTACTTTGGAAGCTGGGAAGGTTGTTTCTTTCTCTCACTATAAAATATGAGTTTCAATGATTCCAACATCAGTTCTTCTAGATAATGTTGGCAAACTTGAGCCCCGTGTTAGGACGAAATATTGACATCTTCATGCAAAATGGAGCCCAAGGAGAGTCTTCACTATACCAGCGTTACGTTCCTGACCTTCTTCGGACTGGCCATAATAAACGAAACATATGGACGAGTAGCTTGGGCTGGCTGACGTTCATCAGGTCCCTGGTAACAAAGAGAAGAGATCCAGTTTAATTGGTTGATATTATAATAAAATGTACACTTGACAAGGAAGCTTCACTCATCAGATAGGATAAAATTAAGGTGCAAGAGGAATAACAAATGTTTAAATGTATTCTTCTTTTACTTTATTATTTTTAATAACACAACACTCTAGAAGGTTTCCAAGTCCAGGGCTCAAAGAGCAATCCAATTCAAATAGTCCAATATTTGTTTCTTTGAAGGCAAATGACTGGAAGGTTCATTGTTTTTTGTTTTATCTGTTTCAATTTTCCTATGGAAGTTCTGGCTTTACATAGCCAGATTTTGAATGAAAATATAAACGATTTTTAACCTACAAAAGGAGAGGGCAAGAACTGATCAGTGGCATCGCTAGACAAGTTCAGGGGGTTCAGACCACACCCTCTGACACCAGGGCTGTGAGGGCCCTAAGCACTGACAATCTGTGGTGCCCCCTCCTCTAATTACTCATACAATGGAATGGGATATGTGAGTTAGACATACCAAAAAGAAAACCCAAACCCGTTGCCGTCAAGTCCGTTCTGACTCATAGTGACCCTAGAGGACGGAGTAGAACTGCCCCAAATGGTTTCCAAGAAGCCCCTGGTGGATTTGAAAGTATGTGTGTGTGTGTGGGTGTCTTAGCTATCCATGATATAACTTCTTTTTAAATATAACTATAATATTAGTGATTGAACACAAAAGTGGCGTATGCCATTTCGGTGGAATGAGATGAACTGGATTATAACATTTTTAGTGAATGTGGGGTACTAAGATTTTTACTATATACCACATTTTCTACAAAAAGGATATTTCACAAATTCTACAACAAAGGCAATGAGTCAGTGAACTTAGTTACTTCAACAATCAATGTAAAATTCTGTTGATCTCCCACAACGAAAAATTGACTTTCAGCAAGTTTGTTTTAAACAGCTCATGCTTCAGTTTTGATGCTTGCTTTGTAATAAATGCTATAATTATAAACGAACAAATGAAAAGATGTCATCAAAGAAAATTTAATCATCAGAAAACAAATATTACAACAAATTAATACATTTTATTTTTAGATCTTTCATCTCTAACATGTTATAACTAAAAACGTTTCTTTCTATTCTTTGCTCTTACAAATTCTTCAATGATTTCATCACAATTAAGCTGCCAAACATTATTTACTGCTGTACATAATAAGGATAATGAATTGAGTCTTTCTTGAATCGTTGCTGTTCACTCACTTTTTCTTGTGTCCTCTCTGCTTGGATCTATGGGTCTTTGCTTTGGACAACTGATGCCCGTTTGTCGATGCCCTAAACACTTGCTTACCTTGCTGATCGGGTAATCCATTCCTGCCTGACTGTCAGAGGGGGTGACACCAAAATGACTCCAGTGCCACCACGGACCCGAGCTGCCACAGGAGGGTCCGCCAAGACAGTGGCGTCAGGATGGTGGTGTCAGCCATCACCCAGCGCAGTAACTCGTCAACCCACCCCATCACCTGCCAGCCAGGACTCAGCTAGCAGGGCAGCAGCGCCACCACTGGGCGGAGAGGAGGGACTATGCCTCAGTCAGCGAGAGAGGGGAGGAGTTTCAGGGCGCCTGGGGGCGTGGCTGGGAAGGGCGGGACTGCATAGCCCAGCGCCTGACCCTGCAAGGGGAGGCGGGGGTTGAGGCCAGGCTGAGCCCT